GCTCAGGGAAGGCTTTCAGCATATAACTTTCTTTCCCTCTGAGATGGGACCCAAAGCATAGAGCTGCAATGCTGCAAGACCTCCCTCGGCAGGTGCTGTGATTGAGGGTCTGAGCATGGAGCAGTTGGTGTACCCCAAGTTTGTGTTGCCAGGGATGTAACTGCAGGTTGTGTTGGTGTAACCCGAGGTTCAGTGTTGGTGGTGTACCCCGTGATTCAGTGTTGGTGGTGTACCCAAAGTTTTAGTGTTGCCAGGGGGGTAACCGCGGGTTGTGTTGGTGTAACCGGAGGTTTAGTGTTGGTGTTCCCCAAGGTCCAATGTTAGTGGCGTACCCCAAGGTTCAGTGTTGGTGGTGTACCCCCAAGGTTCAGTGTTGGTTGGTGTGTCCCAAGGTTCAGTTTTGCCAGTGGTGTATCCAAAGGTTCACCTTTGTTAATGGTGTACCCCAAGGTTCAGTGTTGGTGTATTCCATGGTTCAGTTGGAGAGTTAGGGTTTTCAGTGGTGTACCCCAATGTTTAATGTTAGTGGCGTACCTAAAGGTTCAGTGCTGGTGGTGTACCCCCAAGGTTTAATGTTGCTGGACCCCAAAGTTCAGTGTTGAGTGGTGTACCCCCAAGGTTCAGTGTTGGTTGGTGTGCCCCAAGGTTCAGTTTTGCCAGTGGTGTATCCAAAGGTTCATCTTTGTTGGTGGTGTACCCCAAGGTTCAGTGTTGGTGGTGTATTCCATGGTTCAGTTGGAGAATTAGTGTTTTCAGTGGTGTACCCCAATGTTTAATGTTAGTGGCGTACCTAAAGGTTCAGTGCTGGTGGTGTACCCCCAAGGTTTAATGTTGCTGGACCCCAAAGTTCAGTGTTGAGTGGTCTACCCCAAGGATCAGTGTTGTTGGTGCTGGACTCCCAAGGTTTAGTGTTGTGGCGTACCCCAAGGTTCAATGTTGTCAGTGGTGTATGTCAAGGTTCAGTGTTGTTGGTGCTGCACCCCAAGGTTTAGTGTTGTTGGTGATGCACCCCGAGGTTCAGTGTTGTTGGTGCTGCACCCCAAGGTTCAGTGTTTTTGTACCCCAAGGTTCAGTTTTGGTGGTGTATCCCAAGGATAGTGTCGGGACCCTTACTTTTAACCTATTTATCAATGATATAGTTTGGTATTAAAAGTACTATTTCTGTGTTTGCAGATTAAACCAAGCTAGTAGTTCCTTACTGTAGTGGAGTTCCTTACTGTTGGTAATGTGTTTAGATGAAGCACTGAGATCTTGAGGAATGCTGAGTTATGTTTTTTACTTGCTTAGCAGGACATTACATGTATGTATACAGCATTGTGAAGAAAAACAGAGAAAACTAAAAATTCCTGTGTATCCTAGATAAGCATCCACATAGAGACTCGCATTGCACTACACCGCGCCATCTACAGCTCAAGACATATCAGTATATGTTGTTATATTCCCAATTTACAAGCAGACCTGAATGATCTCTGATTGGTCAACTTTGTGACAAATGAGGTTTAATGATAAGTGTAAAGTTGGGGGACTGAAAACATGTATATATCATACACTCTAGGGGAAGTATGATTGGGGGGGGGGGATGTTTGGGGGAGTCGATGGAGAAGGATCTGGGTGTTCTGGTAGACCATAGACTCAGTAATAACATGCAATGTCAAGCTGTGGTTTCTAAAGCAAGAAAATTACTTTTTTACATTAAAGGAGAACTATGGGGTACGGGAAGGGGGAATCCAGCCCCTCCCCTGTCATGGCAGAGAGCCGTGACAGGATCGAGAGGTGAGCGAACGCCGGTATGTGTTCACTCACTTCCCGATCTACTGAGCCGACCTGTAACAGTCTCATTGTCACAGGTCGGCTAGAACTATGAGGTGAGTGGAAATCACCCATCTCATAGTTCTCCTTTAAAGGGTTTCTAAACTCTGTTTTTTTTTGCCTATATCCAGTGCTAGCAAGCAGTAAATATATGCAAAAAGTTTTTAAAAATCGCTCCCTCTCGAGAATCTGAAACTGCTCGGGTGGCCGCAAAGCATCTTGGGGCATGCGCAGTTCGGATTTTCGGCCGGGAGACTAGCAGAGACGCAAGGTAAGTCTATGGACGCGTGCACCCGCATGCAGACACCGCGGGATCGGAAGAGCCTGCAGGGACAGAGGAGTCAGCGCTAAATTGGAGAGCCGCCGCACCACTGGATGGGGGGAGGGGGGGGGGGGACATGGTCACCATGTATAAATACATAAATGGCCCATATAGTGAGCTTGGGGAAAATTATTGACTTTCAGGTCACTGCAAAGGACAAGGGGGGCACTTTGTATCCCCATACGGTTTCCTAACAGCAAGCGATGTGGAGTAGATTCCCTCAGGAACTAGTTCTAGAAGCTCAATTTATTATTTTTTTAAAACCTGGATGTATTAACAAATATATAGAATATAACTGTCTAGTACAATGTATAAGTAATAACACCAGAGATTGTTGAGCCCGGGAATTTCCAATTGCCTTAGGGGATCAGAAAGGATTTTTTTTTCTCCCCATTAGAACAAATTGGTCCTGTGGATTATCTGTGGGTATAGGGTTCTGTTAATGGAGGTTTTCTTTTTGTGAATTTCTCTATTGAACTTGATGGACTTTGGTCTTTTTTCAGTGTGTAACTATGAAACATGATTTATCGCAACACAATGGTTTCACCAGGATCGGCTTTCTTTGCAGCTTTCACCATTCGGTCACATGACATCTCAGATCCATAAAAGTCAATCCTGGGGCACTTCCCTCTGCCAGACACGAGTCCCATTGGACAGCAAATAGCTTTAAAAACGGCCACCCTGTGCTAATGGCTGAGGGTCCCACTAATTCCATTCATAAAATAGCAGGAGAGGAACCATAAAGCCCACGAATAGGAAGCAATGAGCTAACTGAAGCTCCACACTCCCGGCACAGTTAAAGGAGAACTGAGGTGAGTGTTCTTCACTCATCCTCATAGTTAGAGCCGAAATATGACAAAGAAGCTGTCACAGGTCGGCTGTATTGATCGGGAAAAGAGCATAAACATGCAGCGATCTGCTCACTTCCCGATGGTCTCCCTGCGGTGACAGTCAGTCACCGCTCCCCGTAGGGATTACCCCCCCTTCCCTCTCCGATCCTCCAGCGCTGAGTGGAGGAATGGACGGGGGAAGGGGCGGGTACAGCTGGCTCTGCCTCTAGATAGGCAGAGCCAGCTGTCACTCACGCAGCTGGGTGGAACTTGACAGTATTGTTGGGATCTGTCCTGGCTGCGGCGCTGTCAGTATATCACGGGCAATAGCCCACTATATACTGAGCTTTGGGGGGTCACAGGTGGAGGTTAGTATATGTAGTCCTGTGAACCTAAAGAGAACTACAGGGAAAAACAATTACCCCCAAAGCTCTCCTTTAATGGAGAGCATGGAGGTAATTAAAGCAAATCGAAAGCCTTTCCTTTCCCATCATATTTCCAGGAGCTCTTTTAATCACAAATGAAATCTAATCTTTATCACTGTCAGCGTCCAGCCGAGAGATAAGAGTTGTACAGCCGGCTTCTGGTTCGATGGATTGATGAGATAAAATGAGATTCTCTGTAGCTAATATTTTTAAAACAATTTTAAGATTTTATTTTGCTGCTATTTTGAAAAAAAAAATGGATCAATCAACTCCAGGCAGAAAAAAATATATACTAATAATAGCCAGAAAATATTAAAACTGATCTTCAGACACACATTTAAATATATTGCTCAATAGCTACAAAGATTATAAATCTAATTTGCTAAACTTACACTAAATGCATTTGCAAACTCAGTTCACCTTGTAAAAGTAGCAGTGACATCATCACTGTGCTGTAAATAGCCTGTGCAGAGAGCAGGGCTGTGGGAGGGGCCCCACAGGCCCCACCCACTACAGGCTGCCTGCAGAAAGCTACAGGAGGGGGTGGAGACCAGACCAGTCACCCTACACAAGGAGAGAGAGAGAGCAGCAGTGAGCGGTCTTTATTACAGGAGGGGGCAGAGACCAGGCCAGTCACCCTACACAAGGAGACAGAGCAGCAGTGACCAGTCTATATTACAGGAGGGGGGCGTGGACAAGACCAGTCATGCTGCACAACCAGAGAAAGCAGCAGTGAGTGGTCTTTATTACAGGAGGGGGCGGAGACCAGGCCAGTCACCCTACACAAGGAAAGAGCAGCAGTAAGCGGTCTTTATTACAGGAGGGGGCGCCGACAATACCAGTCACCTTGCACAAGGAGAGAGAGCAGCAGTGATTGCTCTTTATTACAGGAGGGCGGAGATGAGACCAGACACCCTGCACAAGGAGAGGGAGAGCAGCAGTGACCGCTCATAAAGCCCAGCTCCAGCCAAATTTTGTTTGGTTTGCTGTCCTGGATAGTTTAACTCAAGTTTTTATTTCTGGCTGTGACCCCCTTGGGGAGATTTTCCCTCAATTCCTGTCTGTGACATGAGCATAAGAAATAAGGGGCCACTAGGACAGAACAGCAGAGATAATAAGGAAAACAGCCAGATCTTCTAACCTCTTCCTCATTCTACAAACTTTTTGTCTGAGTCCCTATTGGGAGAGATTGTCAGAGCAGAAAGGATAACACATAGGAGTGTATCTATATAAGGTTCGCAGAGCGAACAGCTCCGTGAATGTCCTAGTTTTAGATTCACAGCTCATTATGGCCACTAGATGGAGCCAAGGAGCTTTAGAATTCAAATGCATCTCGGCTCCATCTAGTGGCCATAATGAGCTGCAAATCTGAATCTAAGGTCATCTCTGTGCCGTTCATTCCGCAAATCTTTAATACATTTCAAGAGTCATAGTCATGTCTCTGTTAGAAGAGGTGAGCAAAACAAATGGCAAACGCACTCATCAATTTGTTACCAGCTTTACAGCAAGGTGCACATGGAAGGGCTTTTTGCTGTTAGAAGAGGTGAACGCGGCCATACGGCGGGAGGGGAATTGACTGCTCTCATAGACAGCATCTGTTTGTCTCTTGCAGGAAGATGGAATTCTCCGCCATCCTCGCTCTGTTGGTCACCTTCCTCATCACCCTCCACTTTCTCATGTCATGGTGGAGGCAGACCAGACGGTACAAGTCACTGCCAGACGGGCCCACCCCGCTGCCTTTCCTGGGCACCCCGAAGTATATGAATATTAGAGCTGCAGATAAAAACTACACCATGGTAAGTGACCTCTGGGATCTCACAAGCTTCTGAGTGGTTGTGCAAAATATATTCCTTGTACCTGATGACAATCAATCTCCATCTATAGGAGCGGTCCTGTACTTCTCAGAGGGCGTCCCGTGTCCAGTGCAGGCAACTTTTTAGGCAGCAGATTTTCTTCTAAAAATCATCAGAATGGGAACATAGACTGTCTGGCCTAAAAAAAGTCACCACCTGGATTTCAGGCAGTATTATGATCTGGGATTGCTATAGCTGTTCAGGTCTAGGTTCAGTAACGTTATGTCCCTAAAAAAATGAGGTCAGCTGTCTACCTGAATTTACTGAATGATCAGGTTTTTCCATCAATGCATTTTTTTCTTCCCTGATGACACATTGTGCATATTCCAACATGGCAAAGCCAGGAGTCATCGGGCTCAGATTGTGAAAGAGCGGTTCAGGGACCATGAGACACCGTTGTCATGCATGGATTGGCCACCACAGAATCCAGACCTTAACTGAATTAAGATTGGCCACCAGAGTCTAGACCTTAACCCCATTGAGATTGTCCACCAGAGTCTAGACCTTAAAGGAGAACTATGACATGAGTGATTTCCACTCACCTCATAGTTCTAAGCCGACCTGTGACAATGAGACTGTCACAGGTCGGCTCAGTACATCGGGAGGTGAGGGAACACATACCGGGTTCCCTCACCTCTCGATCCTGTCACGGCTCTCTGCCGTGACAGGGGGAGGGGCTGGATTCCCCTCTCCTCGCTCCAATCTGCCAGCGCTGACTGGCGGAACGGACGGGGGAGGGGGCGGGTACAGCTGGCTCTGCCTCTAGATAGGCAGAGCCAGCTGTCACTCACGCAGCTGGGCGGATCCCGTCATCTAAGTCGGGATCCGCTCCAGGTGTGGCGTCTCAGTATACCGCGAGCTGTAGCTCCCTATATACTGAGCCTAGGGTAACGGGAGGACGCTAGTTTGTGTCCTCCCGTTACCCCAAGGAGAACTATGGGGAAAAACACTGACCCCATAGTTCTCCTTTAACCCCATTGAGATTGGCCACCAGAGTCCAGACCTTAACCCCACTGAGAATCTTTGGGATGTGCTGGCGTAGACTTTACGCAGTGGTCTGACTCTATACATCATTTTATATACTGTACATTCACATCACTCCCTGACCTTGAAAAGCTTACAATAAAAGGTCCCTATTCTCACATGCACACTAGGGCCATTATATCTACTTTGAAGGAAACCACAAGCATAGGAACAACACAGTGGTGTAATGGTTGCCCCTTCTTCCTTGCTGCACTAAGGGTCCCAGGTTAGGATACTATCTGCAAGGAATTTGCATGTTCTCCCTGTGCTTGTTTCCTCTAGGTACTACAACTTCCTCCCACACTCCAGAGACATGCTGGAAGGTGAATTGGCTCCTGTCTAAATTGGCCCTCCCATGTATATATGTGAGATAGGGACCTTAGATTGTAAGCTCCTTGAGGGCAGGGACTGATATGAATCTGCAACTATGTAAAGTGCTGCTTAAATACCTACTGTATATAAATCCCTGTAATAAATCAAAAACATCACAGCCAGGGATGTGGGGAAGAGACCCTTGTTCCCATCCAGGAGGGTGCTTTTTCCAGGAGGGCATGTGGCCTGGTATGGTGAATAGGGGGGCACTCCCTTGTCCCGTCTCCCCCTTTCCTGCCCTGCCAGGCCACTGCTCAGATTAAGGGCCTGCTATAGAATTTTAGGGGGACCCCACATTTAATTTGGCGTTAGGGTCCCACTTTAGTGAATAACCTCCATAATCTTATATACAATGAAAGCAAATGTTCTATATTTGTCTTTAAATATATAATTCTAGGTATTCATATTTATTTTTATTATGTCTGTACTTTTCTCATCATACCGATATAGTGCAGTCCTAACTCTAAACTGTGAGAGTCTCCATCTTGGAGCACTTGGGGCAGAAGATTAAATTGGGTGCAGGTTTGTCAGCAGGAAGCCCAACCTCCTTACAGGCACAGAGACGCACAAGGGACCCCACACATCACAACGGCAGCTGAGACCCCCCCATGCGTCACTGCACCAAATCAGTCAAGCAAAATAAATGGCAAACGCACTCATCAATTCGTTACCAGCTTTACAGCATGGTGCACATGTGCCCTTCTATGTTCCCTTCCATGTTCCCTTCCATGTGCACCTTGCTGACTGTAAAGCTGGTAACAATTTTGCTGAGTGCATTTGCCGTTTGTTTTGCTTGGCTTCTTATCTTTGACTTCTTTGATGAAATCAATATTTTGAATTCTGAAGCTATTGATGGGGATTTCCTGTTTCTTCCCAACAGATTTTGGATTGCATCCAAGTCGCCTTTGGCTGTATTTTGTGTTTGAGAGACGCCTCTCTGGGTCACGGCAGTTTACAGCATAGACTTTACTCTGCATGTAGAGAGACTTTTATCTTCCTATCTGCTGACTTTGGGCCACAGGAGTTTATTAGTACCCGGACTCCTGTGATCCAGAAGGGAAGTAGAGCCAACAAAGAAAAAGGGTTTGACATTACTTCTTTTTAAAAATAGAACTGAAGCCGAAAATGTTTTTGTTTTTTTTGTTCTAGTTTTGGGTAGAGTAAAGGCGGGTTATGACCCCTGTCAGTGCTTTCACCCGTCTGTGTCCCATTGGGGAGATTACCCTTCACTTCCTGTCCTGCAGCCACAACAGGAAATTAGAGCAAATCCCTGGCAGTCACCAGAACTAGTCTCCCCATTGGAAGGTTACACATAGCTTAGAGTGTAAAGGTGACACGAGGGGTCTTTTGGATGCCCAGTATCACCTTAAAGAGGACCTGTCACTGCCAATATGCTATCACATGGGGGGCTTGTAAGCTCACTATGTGATAGCAATTAAAGGGAAAAAAATGTTGGGGTACTGAATTCTGTTGCAATTTCACGCACACAATTTTTAACTTGGGCATGTTGGATATTTATTTACTTGTTGTAACCTCATCTTTTATATTTGACAAAAAAAGGGTATTTAACTTAATTGCATTTTTCACTATATTTTTGGGTTTGATAAGTTCTGCTAATGTCGTGCAACATAAAAATTTGCAGCTGCCACCATTTAATTCTATAGGGTCTTGGCTTCATAAAATATATAATGTTTGGGGGTTTTAAGGAATTTTCAGGCCTAAAATGGGGCTTGTAACATGTAAACAAAAAAAAAGGGGAAAAAAAAGGCCTCGGTCCTTAAGGGGTTAAAGTTTCTATCACTTCTGGAGGCTCCATAACAAAGATAATTACCAGTATTATGAGGATCATCGTCACCGCACTCCCTATGCTCCAGTTCTCAGTTTGCATTGTGCTGACACGTAGAAATGTTTTGCATGTTGCTCTGTTATGTCATTTGCACAGAATCTGGGTGAAAGTTTCTCATTCACCGACTCTGAACTTTATACCTGGGTGTTACATTGTATACAAAGCGGCAGAAATCCTCAGCAGATTGGATACAAATCTCTGCCTGTCAGTCAGTCAGTGTGACAGTTCGATGTGTATTTGTGACAACCTGAATGTTGTTGAGCAGGAACAAAAAGTAGACCTGCTTTCTTCTTTCATATATATATATATATATATATTTTTATTTTTTATTTATTTATTTTTCCTTTTTTTCTTATAGAATGATATTACTGTCTGTGAATAGAACTGTATAAGTATGGAAAACCAATAAACTTTGAAACCCAAAAAGTAGACCCGCATGGTGTCGCAATCAGGGCCGGATTTCCCACAAGGCCAACCAAGGCCCGGCCTCGGGGCAGCAGGGAGTAGAGGGGCAGCAGGGGTGTGGAATTCCTATCTCCCGATGCCCGGGACATGCAGTTCTGGGTGCTGGGCAGGTAGTTGTTTTCGACATTTAGCTCTGCTTTGGGCAAGCAGAGTTTAATGTAGAGCGGGGAAGTCGCCACTTGTTTTGTACAATTGATCCCGGCGATGTCGCCGAGATAACTTGTATGCAGCCTGCAGGTCTGCCATTCTCCATGGGAGGGGGGATGTTTGGCTGGTAGGGGGGCGCATTAAGGAACATGGCCTTGGGGCAGCAGAGAGAGTAAATCCGGCCCTGGTTGCAATCTATTCCTAGTAATTGTAATGTTATCTCTCACACGCTAACAATGCATCTGCTCATCACAGCTTAACCGCCACTGTCACACATACATTGTATATGTGACGTCACGGAGGTGGGATTTTTCTGGTGCCACATATATGCGACATGTGTTTCTGCTAGGAGCACGCTAGATCAAACCTCCAGCACTGAGACCAAACTGTCATTAACAGCTCGGACTGATCCTGACGTGATCAAAGGAATAGCCAATCACATTGATTACTAGTTTTACAACCCTCCCCTGTACTGCTCCTCCTCTGGGATACATTGTATCTTTCTAGATATCTATCTAGAGAAGTCTGTACAAATAAAGATATAATATTTTATATAATAGAAGATATGAAGATCAGGGCTGGATCTATGTTATTTGTTGGTGTCATTAATAGCGTTAGGCTCAGTGTCCGTTGAGGGGATCATTTATAAATCATCCGCCAAAACGCATGCTTGATAAATTTTATTTTTTTTTAGAGAAGTCTGTAAAAAAAAAGATATAATTAAATATATACAGGTCTGTCATTGTTCGCATTGGGGTCAGTGTCCGTTTTAGGGGATCATTTATAAATCACCCGCCAAGACATACGCTGGCTGAATGCTGTTCCCACGGCATTGCATTCTCACCACTGGATGGATAGGCTATGTGCTACGGCTCCATCTAATGGTCAGAATGCCATGCAAACTGAATTCAGCCACTGCGTGTCTAGCCCAGGGGTGCACAGCCTTGGTAATCCCCCCCCCCTACTGTACTGTAAAAATAAAAAAGATCATTAAATATATACAGGTCAGTGTCATTGTTAGCGTTGGGGGTCAGTGTCAGTTTTAGGGGATCATTTATAAATCACCCGCCTAGGCATACGCTGGCTGAATGCTGTTCCCGCGGTGTTGCATTCTTGCCACTGGATGGATAGGCTATGCGCCACGGCTCCATCTAATGGCGAGAATGTCATGCTAACAGCATTAGGCCCGTGTGTGTCCAGCCCAGCAATAGGCAACTTCGGCATCCATGAGGCATTGCTCTGACAGCAGCCACAGGCATGATTTACAGAGAAAATGATATGATGGGATTTGTAGTTTCAGTACAGCTGAGGTGCTGAGGTTGCCTACCTCTGAACTAACCAGATGATGTATAAATCATCCCCTTAGTGTCAGTGTGTTTAGGCAGAATTAAAAAAACAAAAAAACAAAATGTGCGCTATTGTTTCTGGTTCCCACTACAAGTACAAATGATGAATAACGCTCACATATGCAGTATCCCTGTGCACGGCTGGAGTAGGAGAATTTTTTTTTTTTTGGTGGTGGGTCATGGTAATGACAAGAAATATTCAGCTAAATAAAAAAAATACACCCAGGTTTGACTCATCTGATTCGGCGGTGAAATTCGAGCCGTCTATGACCAGCATTACTTTTATCGCTGCAGACAGAGTTAGGCAGCGGCCAGGCTACGGACATTCAAGTATTTCTATATTTACATGCACTTAAAAAAAAAGATAACTTCACTGACCTCTGTGGCTGCAGGTACTGTTGAGCAATCCATCCTTAAAAAAACAGCATTATTGAAGTAATTCAATTCCTTCCCTTAGCAGCTCGACTTCACCCCCTCCAAGCAGAAACTCAGCAGCTCATCTTCCCCTACCCAAGCCCCTCCCCCCTTCCAGCAGCTCACCCTACTCCTCCCTCCCAGCAGGGACTTCGCAGATCCGCTATCCCTCCCAGCAGTGATTAAGCAGCTCAACTCTTTCTCTACTTCCCCTCCCAGCAGTGAGTTAGCAGCTTAGCTTCCTCCCTGCTAGCATCTGACAGTAGGAACTCAGCAGCTCAGTTGCCCCTGCACCCCAACCCCTCCCTCAGCAGTGAATCAGCAGCACAGCTACCCCTTCACCCCCTCCCAGCAGTGACAATGCAGCTCTGCCTCCCCTCCCAGCAGTCTTATCCACTTAAAAGAGTTAAAAGAGTTCTGTTCTGAGAAGAATGTATGTTGCCATCTGTGACTTCTCTGTTCAGAAGTGATTGTTGCCCTGCTGTCATTCTGATTCTCTGGCTCCAAAGCTTTGAGTCTCTGGGCCAACACCAAAACAAACATCAGGGGCTCTGACTTTGCAACAAGCTGTTCAGGGACCCAGAAAGTCTTGAAGCCAGAGTCAGCAAGGGAAGAGACAGGTTCTCTTTAGCAACATCTACATTACATATTGGGTTTAGTTACATATTATTTGACAATGACAGGAAGGCGTGAGCTGGGGCTGCACCTTGAGCACAAGTCTCTGTGGTGGCCTGTCATTGTTGACCTCTGACTCTCTTCCTTCTACCTATCACAGCTCAGCCAAAAATACGGCTCAATATTCACCATCTGGAAGCTGTCGGAGCCGGTGGTGGTCCTCTGCGGTTATGAGACGGTAAAGGACGCTCTGCTGAACCACGCTGAGGAGTTCAGTGCCCGCCCAATTATACCCACGCTGCACTTCCCTGACCAAGGATACGGTAAGATTGTCAGAACGCTTCTCAGAACACAACCCGGCCCATTGTAGATTATAGAAACTAGCAAAAGTGTGCCCAGTCCAGAACAAGTTTTACATTTGTGCTATGGACCTACTGATTCTGCAATATATTTGTCATTACTTATAAGATAACCAGAAAAAAATAAGTTAAGAGGAGAAGGGGAAGAAGGAGTTGGCTAGGGGCTGATTAGGGTAAATTAAGAGTCAATAATGGGTTAAATAGGAACAAAATATTTTTTTTCCTAATTTGTTCACTTGTCAGATTGTTTTAACTTACACCGTAAACAGATCAAAGCTTATCCTCTTTGATCTGCTGATGAATAAACCAGAGTTGCTAAAGTAAGAACATGACTTTGTATCTCTCTATCTCCCTCTGATTTAATGTTTATAAGCAATGTTACTTTGTTTCTCTCTCTCCCTCTGATCAATGTTTATAAACAATGTTACTTTGTATCTCTCTATCTCCCCCTGATCAATGTTTATAAACAATGTTACTTTGTATCTCTCTATCTCCCTCTGATCAATGTTTATAAACAATGTTACTTTGTATCTCCCTATCTCCCTCTGATCAATGTCTATATACAATGTTACTTTGTATCTCCCTATCTCCCTCTGATCAATGTCTATATACAATGTTACTTTGTATCTCCCTCCCCTCTGATCATCAATGTTTATAAACAATGTTTCTTTGTATCTCCCTATCTCCCTCTGATCAATGTTTATAAACAATGTTCCTTTGTATCTCTCTCCCCTCTGATCAATGTTTATAAACAATGTTACTTTGTATCTCTCTATCTCCCTCTGATCAATGTTTATAAACAATGTTACTTTGTATCTCTCTATCTCCCTCTGATCTTTATATATAAACAATGTTACTTTGGATCTCTCTCTCTCCCCCTGATCAATGTTTATAAACAATGTTACTTTGGATCTCTCTATCTCCCTCTGATCACTGTTTATAAACAATGTTACTTTGTATCTCTCTCCCTCTGATCAATGTTTATAGACAATGTTACTTTGGATATCTCTATCTCCCTCTGATCAATGTTTATAAACAATGTTACTTTGTATCTCTCTATCTCCTCTGATCAATGTTTATAAACAATGTTACTTTGTATCTCTCTTATCTCCTCTGATCAATGTTTATAAACAATATCACTTTGTATATATCTCCCTCTGATCAGTGTTTATAAACAATTAGAAGATGAATAAGCGCACAACTGGTTAGTGGTCACTATGTAGCGAGAAGTGTGAACAGGCATGTACGGTGTGCAAACTCCTAATAACAGGGAGAGGAACCCTGCACATCAATACATAAAAACAAGCAGGCTGTAGGAGCGCTACTACCCTGGAAATACTGATAACTGGTTCTGTGTAAAAAATGGACAATCAAATTTACAGTTAGAAGATGGCTGGTGTGTCAGAGGATGTCATGGCATCTAAGTGTCAGGTACCTGGGGAGGAGCCTTGCTCCAAGGATGGATGGCTCCAGGGGTAGGTAGTGACAGGTCTGGGGTCGGTGTGAAACAGTTTGGCTGCCCACGTACTCGGCTGGCCAGGCGGAGCCGCGGCGGCTTTGAAAGGGAGAGGAGCGGCGAACAGCTGTGAAGTAATGAGCACTGTGTGTATCGCAGGTTCCCGACTGGCTGGTAACTCGGGGGTGCGAATCATCCTACACGGGAGGGAAAGTACGAAGTGGTGGAGAGGTGAGGGCTCTCAGTGCAGTAGCGGCTGCGCGTTTCGAGGCACAGCCTCTTTGTCAAGCCTCAAAGCAATACTGATGGCGGGAAAGCAGAGAACTTTTAAACTTAACATATGGGAGGAGTGAGGGCTACTATTCCCCTATGATAGGCCAGCATTCGGGAAGAGGGAAGGGCAAAGGGGTGAAAGACCGACGCCCGGGACAGGCATAGCGGTTTAGATCGTAGTTAAAAAGACAAGTTGCGGTTTTGCTGTCTGCTGAACGACCACTATATAAACAATGTTACTTTGTATCTCTGTATCTGCCTCTGTTTATAAACAATGTTACTTTGTATCTCTGTATCTGCCTCTGTTTATAAACAATATTACTTTGTATCTCTGTATCTGCCTCTGTTTATAAACAATGTTACTTTGTATCTCTGTATCTGCCTCTGTTTATAAACAATGTTACTTTGTATCTCTCCATCTCCCTCTGATCAATGTTTATAAACAATGTTACTTTGTATCTCTCTATCTCCCCTCTGATCAATGTTTATAAACAATGTTACTTTGTATTTTTAATCTATTTCTGTTTCTTATACATTTTTAATATTATTTGTTTAAACACTCCATCTCCCCTGGTACTGTACAAATGTTATGGGTAAAACAGATTCAAAAATATTGAATAAAAAGTACATACAAAAGCAGAACAAAGACAGTGTGATAACGGTGCCCCATCCACTATATACACTGTATGGTGAATAGGTCAATTCCTAGACACAGCCCCTGCAGGATCCTTGCTGCTTCTCATACAGAAAGTTTGATCACCCCCCTTCCTGCCCCGCTGGGCCTCTGCGCAGATCAAGGGTCTTGTAGAAATTTTAGGAGGGACCCCACAGTTTTTTACCATTTTTTGGGGGGTTTTGTGTTCCCCCTTAAAAATCCTACCAGACCTAAAGTGCCTGGTATGGCTTTTGGGGGGACCCCATGCATTTTTTTCTTTTTTTACCTTGAGGGGGCCTAAAGGGACTGGTATGAATAAGGAGCGGAACCTCACGCTTTTTTTTTCCTGTGGACTGTAAAAACAAAAAAAACATTTATTTTTACCCTTTGTCTGTCACTTTGCAGCAACGAAAATTGGTCCGGAATGAAAATTTGTACATACTACCGCTAACAAATTTCAGATTCGTTTGCATTCGCCATTTGGAGATTCTCCAAATAACAAAAATTCATCCGAATAACGAATCTTTCCGAAACTAATCACACATGTCTAATATATATAGATATATAAATAGGAATTTGCTATACTGGTCAGCACCATCTGGGGGCGCTATTGTCCTGTGAAAGTTTTATAAATGAAGCTCTTATTTCTAAAACTCACACCGAACACACGAGAAAAAAAAAAGTTTTTGTTTTGTTACATTTTTTTTATTTATAGATTTATTAGAAAACTATTTGACTTTTATCATTTCTTTCCTCTGCTTCCTAAGAACAGTGTGATGTAGATTGCGGCTTGGCACGCCTTATGGTTAGTCCTGCCCTCTGTAACTCGTTGCTGATTATCCCCTGCAGGTATTAGTGGTCCCCGATGGCGCTCTCTGCGTCGCTTTGCCATCTCCTCTCTGAGGAACTTCGGGATGGGGAAGAAGACCATGGAATCCCGCGTGCTGGAAGAGGCGACTTATCTCACTCAGGCAGCGGCTGAGACGGAAGGTGGGAGGAAATAGTTTTATCACTTGACTTTTCTTATTGCAAAATTGGAAATAATTAGAAGCTTGCATGATCAGAAAAGGTAAAGTGGGACCTGTCTGAGGCTCGAGGCTTGTTGTTTGGGAATAATGCTTGTGCTTCATATACATACTGTGTGTATATACATACATTTACGCCCAAATACTCGGCATCGGCACCCAGGTCCAGGCAGGGTATTGCACCCACTTTGCAGAAGTGCTCAACTGAGAGACAACTTTCTTTCTAAGGTCCGCTCCTCTGCTCAGCCGGTGGGGTGGGTGTGGTTTCAATAGCCAGTCTGCTATTGGCTATTTCAGATTAAAATAGCCAATAGCAGTCTGGCTATTGCTCCTGGTTGCTTACATTCACCTGCAGAAGCCAGCCGGCAGGAGAATGAAGCCCCGCAGGGTTGGGGGGGGGGGTTGGGGGTTGGGCCGGGGGGGGGGGTCGGGGGGATGCAAGTAGCTGGTCTTGCCTAGGGCGTAAAATAGTCTAGCACTGGCCCTGTCGGCACCGATACTGTATCGGTAGCGGTGCATCCCTAGTAAAACAATAAATCAAAGAAACTGGACTTGCTGTATTTTTCTTGAAGAGGTTTCGCTGGTCATCCAACTAGCTTTCCCAGTTCAGAATGTCGAATTCTGAAATGAAGAAGCTAGTCAGATGACCAGCAAAATGTCTTTTAAAAAAAAAAACATCAAGTCCAGTTCCTTTGATCTATTTTTTTTTTTTTACAGATGCAA